AGCACATTAAGATATGGACAAGGATATAGAGATATAGTCAAGGATATAGAGATATAGACAAGGATATACAGATATAGACAAGGATATACAGATATAGACAAGGATATAAATATATAGAAAAGGATATAGAGATATTGGCAAGGATATACAGATATCGACAAGGATATACAGATATAGAAAGACATACAGATATAGACAAGGATATACAGATATAAAAAAGGACATACAGATGTAGTCAAGGATATACATATGTATAAAAGGATACACAGATATTGACAAGGATATACACATATATACATGGATATACAGTCTAGGAGCTACAGATATACAGTCTAGGAGCTACAGATGTACAGTCTAGGATCTTGAAATATACAGTCTAGGAGCTACAGATATACAGTTTTTCTAGCTACAGATATGCAGTCTAGGATCTACAGATATACAGTCCAGGAGCTACAGGTATCCACAGTCCACCAGATACAGGAGTCTGTCAGGATAATCAACAGTCCAGTGGAAGGTCCACCAGATACAGGAATTTGCCATAACATTCAACAGTCCAGTGGAAGGTCCGCCAGATACAGGAGTCTGTCAGGACATTCAACAGTCCAGTGGAAAGTCCGCCAGATACAGGAATTTGCCATAACATTCAACAGTCGAGTGGAAGGTCCACCAGATACAGGAATCTGTCAGGACATTCAACAGTCCAGTGGAAGGTCCACCAGATACAGGAGTCTGTCAGGACATTCAACAGTGTAGTGGAAGGTCCGCCAGATACAGGAGTCTGTCAGGACATTCAACAGTCCAGTGGAAGGTCCGCCAGATACAGGAGTCTGTCAGGCCATTCAACAGTCCAGTGGAAGGTCCGCCAGATACAGGAGTCTGTCAGGACATTCAACAGTCCAGTGGAAGGTCGACCAGATACAGGAGTCTGTCGGGCCATTCAACAGTCCAGTGGAAGGTCCGCCAGATACAGGAGTCTGTCAGGACATTCAACAGTCCAGTGGAAGGTCCACCAGATACAGGAATCTGCCATCACATTCAACAGTCCAGTGGAAGGTCCGCCAGATACAGGAGTCTGTCAGGACATTCAACAGCCCAGTGGAAGGTCCACTAGATACAGGAGTTTGTCAGGACATTCAACAGTCCAGTGGAAGGTCCACTAGATACAGGAGTTTGTCAGGACATTCAACAGTCCAGTGGAAGGTCTACCAGATACAGGAGCCTGTCAGGACATTCAACAGTCCAGTGGAAGGTCCACCAGATACAGGAGTTTGTCAGGACATTCAACAGTCAAGTGGAAGGTCCACCAGATACAGGAGTCTGTCAGGACATTCAACAGTCCAGTGGAAGGTCCGCCAGATACAGGAATGTCAGGACATTCAACAGTCCAGTGGAAGGTCCACCAGATACAGGAATCTGTCAGGACATTCAACAGTCCAGTGGAAGGTCCACCAGATACAGGAATCTGTCAGGACATTCAACAGTCCAGTAGAAGGTCCGCCAGATACAGGAGTCTGTCAGGCCATTCAACAGTCCAGTGGAAGGTCGACCAGATACAGGAGCCTGTCAGGACACTCAACAGTCCAGTGGAAGGTCCACCAGATACAGGAGTCTGTCAGGACATTCAACAGTCCAGTGGAAGGTCCGCCAGATACAGGAGTCTGCCAGGACATTCAACAGTCCAGTGGAAGGTCCACCAGATACAGGAATCTGCCATCACATTCAACAGTCCAGTGGAAGGTCCACCAGATACAGGAGTCTGTCAGGACATTCAACAGTCCAGTGGAAGGTCCACCAGATACAGGAATCTGTTAGGACATTCAACAGTCCAGTAGAAGGTCCGCCAGATACAGGAGTCTGTCAGGCCATTCAACAGTCCAGTAGAAGGTCCGCCAGATACAGGGGTCTGTCAGGACATTCAACAGTCCAGTGGAAGGTCCGCCAGATACGTGAGTCTGTCAGGCCATTCAACAGTCCAGTGGAAGGTCCACCAGATACAGGAATCTGTCAGGACATTCGACAGTCCAGTGGAAGGTCCACCAGATACAGGAGCCTGTCAGGACATTCAACAGTCCAGTGGAAGGTCCGCCAGATACAGGAATCTGTCAGGACATTCAAAACATACAGATTTACCAATGTAACACCACTGATGTTAACCAAAACTTACAACTTTGTAGAAATTATACACACTCTCTCTCACCACACTCACACACACAAGCACACACACAGACTGATATGTTTCGTTCTTTTTCTCTTCAGGGAGATTGTAGCAGTTACAGTATGACGTCATTACATATATATTGTGACGTCACAATATGGACAAAATTCTAGAGCGACAAGGTCACAGCTTGCAATGGTTTAGCATTGGTTTGAACTTGTCTATGAAGTAGTGTTCATTTAAAATTCGTTTTACTTTGTCCGAATTTTGTACTTGATAAAAAGGAAATATTGTAAATTTAATATGGTTTCCTTTCGCACAGACATCTAGATGTTCACTCAGTGGGATACATCGGGTTTCAGGACACTTTATTTGTTGTTTGTGGACACGAACTCGGGTTCATTACAGCCTGTGCATGTTATGACATATATTATGTTTTTGGAAGAGCAGTAAAAATTCTGTTTTACATAGAATTCTCCGTGTCTCGTGAAAGTTACAGAGTGTCCTTCAGCAATATGTCGACACGTTCCACAGTTACCTCTGTTGAATCTAGACACAGTAGGATTTGATAAATTATGTTTCTTTAAAATAAATTTGGCTTTTATTAGTGTATAAATATATATATATATGTGTGTGTGTGTGTGTGTGTGTGTGTGTGTGTGTGTGTGTGTGTATGTATGTATGTATAGTTCTCACTCACTCATTAGCATGTCAGATTGTTTCAGTTCTTTGTTAGGAACAACTGCTAAAGTAAAATATACAGACTAAAATCAGGATGGTTAGCCATGAGCGAGTGGTATGGTTGAAGACAGACCATTTCTGCATAGCAAGACAAGTCACCCTTCCTCTCTAAAAACAGCCAGACGATAATCACCCTTCTGTCTGCCGAACTTACACAGCACTCTACCACTTCCTTTGCTCCACGTTTACAGTGATAACCAATTGTAGAATCAATTATTGATGACGACAGGTCAGGACTTGACTTCTGTTGAACAGATAATATGTCCTACAACCTGTCCTCATAGGGCAGCTTTAATTAGCCCCAAAGCTTCAAATGGCTCCCTTTATTAGGTTGGAGAAATATTAAGTCTACAGTCTTCCTGTGGAGGCCGCTGTGTCAGTTTTGACAAGTCTGCTATGATCTATGCACCTCGTGGCAATGAGAGATGAGAAAGAGTTTGCGAGAAGACGTCTACCTACAAGGAAGATGAGGGCAGTGTGCAAATTTGTATATTGTTGAACGTGTTGATTTGTAAGATTGGAACTGGAAACAATGTTTGTCGGAGCTTGGTTACTGCACTTTTTGGTCCATATGCAAACAAAGAAGGATGATTATCAACATGGGCACAAACAGCTGTACTGGCCTTCCTGCTGTACCTTTACAAAGGTCATACACCATCAGTTTGATATTGAGTGAAATTAATGTTTAATGTGTTTAGGAATATTTGGTGCCTTGACTGGCACTATACCAATATGCTGGCAGTGGAGGAATATTTGGTGCCTTGACTGTTTCACTATACCAATATGCTGGCAGTGGAGGAATGTTTGGTGCCTTGACCGTGGCACTATGCCAATATGCTGGCAGTGGAGGAATATTTGGTGCCTTGACTGTGGTACTATACCAATATGCTGACAGTAGAGGAATGTTTGGTGCCTTGACTGTGGCACTATACCAATATGCTGGCAGCGGAGGAATGTTTGGTGCCTTGACCGTGGCACTATACCAATATGCTGGCAGTGGAGGAATGTTTGGTGCCTTGACTGTGGCACTATACCAATATGCTGGCAGTGGAGGAATGTTTGGGGCCTTGACCGTGGCACTATACCAATATGCTGACAGTGGAGGAATGTTTGGTGCCTTGACTGTGGCTCTATACCAATATGCTGACAGTGGAGGAATGTTTGGTGCCTTGACTGTGGCTCTATACCAATATGCTGGCAGTGGAGGAATGTTTGGTGCCTTGACTGTGGCACTATACCAATATGCTGACAGTGGAGGAATGTTTGGTGCCTTGACTGTGGCACTATACCAATATGCTGGCAGTGGAGGAATGTTTGGGGCCTTGACCGTGGCACTATACCAATATGCTGGCAGTGGAGGAATGTTTGGGGCCTTGACTGTGGCACTATACCAATATGCTGGCAGTGGAGGAATATTTGGTGCCTTGACTGTGGCACTATACCAATATGCTGGCAGTGGAGGAATGTTTGGTGCCTTGACCGTGGCACTATGCCAATATGCTGACAGTGGAGGAATATTTGCTGCCTTAACTGTGGCTCTATACCAATATGCTGGCAGTGGAGGAATATTTGGTGCCTTGACTGTGGCTCTAATATGCCAATATGCTGGCAGTGGAGGAATGTTTGGTGCCTTGACCGTGGCACTATGCCACAGTGGAGGAATGACAGTTGAGTGGCACCTGTGGCTCTATACCAATATGCTGACAGTGGAGGAATGTTTGGTGCCTTGACCGTGGCACTATACCAATATGCTGACAGTGGAGGAATGTTTGGTGCCTTGACCGTGGCCTATGCCAATATGCTGGCAGTTGAGGAATGTTTGGTGCCTTGACCGTGGCACTATGCCAATATGCTGACAGTGGAGGAATGTTTGACAGTGGAGGAATGACCGTGACCGCATATGCCAATATGCTGACAGTGGAGGAATGTTTGGGCCCTTGACCGTGGCACTATGCCAATATGCTGACAGTGGAGGAATGTTTGGTGCCTTGACCGTTGACAGTGGAGGAATTTGCACCGTACTATACCAATATGCTGACAGTGGAGGAATGTTTGGTGCCTTGACCGTGGCACTATACCAATATGCTGGCAGTGGAGTGGAAATATGCTGACAGTGTTTGGGGCCTTGACCGTGGCACTATACCAATATGCTGACAGTGGAGGAATGTTTGGTGCCTTGACCGTGGCACTATACCAATATGCTGACAGTGGAGGAATGTTTGGTGCCTTGACCGTGGCACTATGCCAATATGCTGGCAGTGGAGGAATGTTTGGTGCCTTGACCGTGGCACTATACCAATATGCTGACAGTGGAGGAATGTTTGGTGCCTTGACCGTGGCACTATACCAATATGCTGGCAGTGGAGGAATATTTGGTGCCTTGACTGTTTCACTATACCAATATGCTGGCAGTGGAGGAATGTTTGGTGCCTTGACCGTGGCACTATACCAATATGCTGGCAGTGGAGGAATGTTTGGTGCCTTGACCGTGGCACTATACCAATATGCTGGCAGTGGAGGAATGTTTGGTGCCTTGACCGTGGCACTATACCAATATGCTGACAGTGGAGGAATGTTTGGAGCCTTGACCGTGGCACTATACCAATATGCTGACAGTGGAGGAATGTTTGGTGCCTTGACTGTGGGAGGACTATACCAATATGCTGACAGTGGAGGAAATGTTTGGAGGAATGCCTTGACCATGGCACTATACCAATATGCTGGCAGTGGAGGAATGTTTGGTGCCTTGACCGTGGCACTATGCCAATACCAATATGCTGACAGTGGAGGAATGTTTGGTGCCTTGACCGTGGCACTATACCAATATGCTGACAGTGGAGGAATGTTTGGTGCCTTGACCGTGGCACTATACCAATATGCTGACAGTGGAGGAATGTTTGGTGCCTTGACCGTGGCACTATACCAATATGCTGGCAGTGGAGGAATGTTTGGGACCTTGACCGTGGCACTATGCCAATATGCTGGCAGTGGAGGAATGTTTGGTGCCTTGACCGTGGCACTATACCAATATACTGACAGTGGAGGAATGTTTGGGACCTTGACCGTGGCACTATGCCAATATGCTGACAGTGGAGAAATGTTTGGTGCCTTGACCGTGGCACTATGCCAATATGCTGACAGTGGAGGAATATTTGGTGCCTTGACTGTGGCACTATGCCAATATGCTGGCAGTGGAGGAATATTTGGGGCCTTGACTGTGGCTCTATACCAATATGCTGACATGTTGCTAGCAACCAAGGGTAATAAATAATGGAAAAAGGTAAATAAATGAAAATCCATCCTCTTCGGAAGGTGCCACTTTATGAGAGAGATGCAATGTCAGATATATGATTAGTGTTAGGTTGGAATAAGGTAGCCATGAGGCCTTCATAGCCTTCCTCTGCTCTTCATGACCTTGATGTACCCATGTGTGACATCTGTGATCTGACTGATGTACCCATGTGTGACATCTGTGATCTACTGATGTACCCATGTGTGACATTAGTGATCTGTCTTGCTGCGGTATCCATTTTATTGAAGTTAATTGCTAGTGTGCTACCAGGCTCAGTGGTTGATTAATGTAGCACTGTAGGATAGGTGTCGCCATGATGATGAATGGTGCAATAAAACCACAGCTCCCATGTACAATTCAATCAAACATATCCTGTCCCTTTATCATAGTCAGCATCATGGGATGTCTCCTCCAACATCTGAAACAGGAAGCATCTTCTTCAGGGATGGTTTATGATTTATTAATTCTCATAGCTTTGTTCTAAAGTTAGAGAGTATCTTGACATAGGAGACATCATGATGAAGTCATTAATAAAATGTTTCGGTTCCTTTTATTTTCAGTTCCTTCAGTAATATAATCTGGAGTTCTGCAGTTCAATGAAGTACAGGCTGTTATTTCTGGGCCTGCTGTGCGTGGCATTACTCATCACACATCGCAGGCCTGTGGAGCAACAGAGACACCTGCGTGAAGTAGCTCTTGGACACACAGTCAGCTGTGTGGCCCATCTGGTCACCTGTCTTGGAGGCACAGTTAGCTGTGTGGCCCATCTGGTCACCTGTCTTGGAGGCATAGTTAGCTGTGTAGCCCATCTGGACACTCGTCTTTGAGGCACAGTTAGCTGTGTAGCCCATCTGGTCACCCGTCTTGGAGGCACAGTTAGCTGTGTGGCCCATCTGGTCACCTGTCTTTGAGGCACAGTTAGCTGTGTTGTCCATCTGGTCACCTGTCTTGGAGGTACAGTTAACTGTGTAGCCCATCTGGTCACCCGTCTTGGAGACACAGTTAGCTGTATAGGTATATAACAGGTGTGTATAGGTATATAACACACTGTATGGCTGTGTATAGGTATACAATAATAGCAAACAGGTGTGTATAGGGATGTAACACTCCGTAACACCGTATGGTTGGGTATAAGTATACAGTAACATCATACAGGTGTGTATAGGTATAATACATTGTAAAACTGTATGGTTGTCGATAAGTATACATAAATAGCATACAGGTGTGTATAGGTATATAACACACTGTATGGCTGTGTATAGGTATACAATAATAGCATTCAGGTGTGTATAGGGATGTAACACACCGTAACACTGTATGGTTGTGTATAAATATACAATAATAGCATACAGGTGTGTATAGGTATATAGCACACCGTAACACTGTATGGTTGTGTATAAGTATACAGTGACATCATACAGGTGTGTATACGGATGTAACACACCGTAACACTGTATGGTTGTGTATAAGTATATAACACACCGTAACACTGTATGGTTGTGTATAAGTATACAATAACATCATACAGGTGTGTATAGGGATGTAACACACCGTAACACTGTATGGTTGTGTATAAGTATACAATAATAGACAACAGATGTGTATAGGTATATAGCACACCGTAACACTGTATGATTGTGTATAAGTATACACTAATAGCATACAGGTGTGTATAGGGATGTAACACACCGTAACACTGTATGGTAGTGTATAAGTATACAATAACATCATACAGGTGTGTATAGGGATGTAACACACCGTAACACTGTATGGTAGTGTATAAGTATACAATAACATCATACAGGTGTGTATAGGGATGTAACACACCGTAACACTGTATGGTTGTGTATAAGTATACAATAATAGACAACAGATGTGTATAGGTATATAGCACACCGTAACACTGTATGATTGTGTATAAGTATACACTAATAGCATACAGGTGTGTATAGGGATGTAACACACCGTAACACTGTATGGTAGTGTATAAGTATACAATAACATCATACAGGTGTGTATAGGGATGTAACACACCGTAACACTGTATGGTTGTGTATAAGTATACAATAACATCATACAGGTGTGTATAGGGATGTAACACACCGTAACACTGTATGGATGTGTATACGTATACAGTAACATCATACAGGTGTGTATAGGTAAATAATTCTATAAGCCTCTGTGTTGAAGATTGAGGTACACTCTGAACTGAAAATACACATCCATATTGCCTTGCCACATTGTTTTATAAACTTCCTAAAAAGTTACAAATAGCACTGGTCATGTTAGATGGAGGGACATCACGAAAATCAGTCAGTTCTTATTTTCTGATATAATGAAAAGATGACATGATGTTTTCAGAGAATGTTTCTATTATGTTAGGAAGTACACCCCATGTGGCATCTGGCCTGGAGGCAGCTCTAATGGTGCCTTTACCTCTTCAACATGGCTGCAATCATTAGAAAGTACCATAGCAGTGGTAGACAGAAACATCTTTTATTCATGGCATCCCTTGCTGAGGCAAGTATAATAACAAATTAACTGCCATGTTGGGGAGAGAAACCACACTATTTATGGTTCTATTTGAGCACAATCAAGATAGAAACTTATCAAAAATAGAGAATAATAGTCTTGCAGGGGCACTCAGACAGATTGTTTTGCTTGAAACTGAATTACCTGCTACAGCTGGTTCTGCCAAGGGCAGGAACTATTGTATCGTCCAGCAGGGGTCGCGAATCACTAACCAGGTGATTACTCTGCCAGTCTTGGCTGTTCTTATGCCAGGAAGAAGTCGATTTTCTTAAAAACTAAAACATCCTGAAGTTTTAAAATCACACAGGGGTTGATAACAAGTTCAAAAGGCTAATCTCGACAAGTATTACCCTTTTCTTATAGAATGTGCAACAATAGGTTTCCTCATACAGTTGTCCCTTGGTGCAAGATCTCACTCACTCATGCAGTTATACATTGAAGGACACAGGCTATAGAAGCAGCTAATATCCAGTTGTCCCTTGGTGCAAGATCTCACTCTCTCATGCAGTTATACATTGAAGGACACAGGCTATAGAAGCAGCTAATATCCAGTTGTCCCTTGGTGCACGATCTCACTCACCCATGCAGTTATACATTAAAAGGTCTTCTCAGGCTATAGAAGCAGGTAATATCCATTTGTATCTTGGTGCAAGATCTCACTCACTCATGCAGTGATACATTGAAGGACACAGGCTATAGAAGCAGCTAATATCCAGTTGTATCTTGGTGCAAGATCTCACTCACTCATGCAGTTACACATTAAAAGGTTTTCTCAGGCTATAGAAGCAGGTAACATCCAGTTGTCCCTTGATGCACGATCTCACTCACTCATGCAGTGATACCTTTAGGTGCAGATTTTGTTTATATGTTTTTCATAACCAGTAAAAGATGCTTGTGAAGGCAGATATCACAAGGGTGTTTCATTTGCCATAATTGATTTGTGGGTGGGTGATTTGTAGGTGAACACGGGTTTGGACATTTGTCCAATCATTTCACAGCAGTAAGTCGTCCATGGGGTCAAAGTCAAAAGTCAAAAGATGTTACATGAGAGTTACAGTGATAAAGGGATATTTTGGATATTTACATATATATTTAAGGGTATACAATTCGTTTTATAAGAAGATCTCTTTTTGCTAATGCATGTTTTATATATTAAGACAAGAATATTTTCATTATTAGTTTGTAACAAAGATATATATGCATTTAGGTGTTGTTTTGCAAGAAAATGTTCTGGTATTTAGTTTTGATAAGTCCCTACTGTGGACCACAGATCAACCCGTTAGTCATCAGATCCCAGTGTTTGGTGCTGATCTGATTCCAGGTGTGTCACTACTGTGGACCACAGATTAACCCGTTGGTTGTCAGACCCCAGTGTTTGGTGCTGATCTGATTCCAGGTGTGTCACTACTGTGGACCACAGATTAACCCGTTGGTTGTCAGACCCCAGTGTTTGGTGCTGATCTGATTCCAGGTGTGTCACTACTGTGGACCACAGATTAACCCGTTGGTCGTCAGACCCCAGTGTTTGGTGCTGATCTGATTCCAGGTGTGTCACTACTGTGGACCACAGATTAACCCGTTGGTCGTCAGACCCCAGTGTTTGGTGCTGATCTGATTCCAGGTGTGTCACTACTGTGGACCACAGATTTACCGGTTAGAAAGAAGTGCTGGAAATGCAGGACATACAGTTCAGACAAAGATTGTTGACGCTAGGGGCTGACCGCTTGAATTCTGGAAGCAATACACAATTGTTCTTCTCCTCGTATTTTGATTGTTTTCAGCAGTTGCAGACAACGCTCCACGTGTTCCGCAAGGCCACCGAACAGACAACGCTCCACGTGTTCCCCAAGGTCACCGGACAGACAACGCTCCACGTGTTCCCCAAGGTCACCGGACAGACAGCGCTCCACGTGTTCCCCAAGGTCACTGGACAGACAACGCTCCACGTGTTCCCCAAGGTCACCGGACAGACAACGCTCCACGTGTTCCCCAAGGTCACCGGACAGACAACGCTCCACGTGTTCCCCAAGGTCACTGGACAGACAACGCTCCACGTGTTCCCCAAGGCCACCGGACAGTTTCAAAGCAACAGAGGCTCTGAAGCTTGCTTCTTAGTTTATCTTTCATGACTAATGTAGTCTAATTGCTCCAATTCCCATTAATATCAATAAACTTGGGTGTGAGTTGACAGATCAGCCCATCAGTGTCGCACTAATGTGAAGTATAGGTTGAACTGTTCTGTATTGAGGAACACCTGTGTTTCCGATATACCTTGACAGAGCGTCAGTCAGCCTGATATCACACTGATCTGTCTGATGTTGTTATTACTGTGCCATCACAGGAACTAATGTTCTAAATCTTAATCACAGTTACTGGACAGGTTGACACTCTACTACATTAGGAAGGCTCACAGTTTCTGCACAGGTTGACACTCCACTACATTTGGA